TACAACTACAGGGCTTACAACAGCTTCAACTACACCTGTGAACACTACAACACCAATGATGACTACCCCTACAAACGCAACCACAACAAATCTTAAAAACACCACACCTGTAACAAACACAACTACAGTGTCTACAACAGCTTCAACTACACCTGTGAACGCTACAACACCAATGATGACTACCCCTACAAACACAACCACAACAAATCTTACAAACACCAACCCAACAAGTACAACAACAGCAACAACAACAATGCCAACAACAACAACAAAGCCAACAACAATAACAAAAACGCCAACAACAACAACGATGTCAACAACAACAACAACGACAGCAGCAGTGGCTGTGGTCCGTGGACCAGTTTTTAATCTATTAGCCGTTTTGGTTACACCCTTTGTAGATGCACTCACTAATACAACCAGTCCACAATTTAAGGCACTTGAGGCACAAGTGGTAGTAATGGTGAGTTAAATACTGAGATGTATTCACAAGTTTTGTTAAATTTCCAGCTGATTACAACGACATCTGAATTAATTAATTTTCTACTTGTTTGTTTTGCACAGTATGAATTCATCTATAGAGCTCAATATGGTTTACTCTTCAGCCATGTTACTGTCATAGCATTTAGGTAAGATTTTCACTTTTGTTCATTCTTAGCAACACTAATCTTATTATCGACAATGACTAAAAATAGTGTTAATTTAGGATATTAAATTAAAAAATTATTTTTCTTCATTTAGACAAGCTGGGACCAGAACACGAGCATCTAATACTGAAGCAGAAGTGGAAGTTGTGTTTAACAACACGATAACACCTGCAGAAATCCCACAGGCTGCAGATGTTGCAAAAACCTTAGTAGAAGCTGTGTCTAAGCCCAACAACTTCACATTAACTATTAATGCCACATCTGTCATAGCAACCCAAGTAAACAGTAAGTAAACAGAAGTCACACATGTCACTCCTGAAGGATTCATTTTGAACAAGGCAATACACAGATTCATTTCTCACATCATATACATAATTAATTCATCGCTCCCACCTATCTCCCCTTCAAACTGTCTTATGGAGATTAGATCATGGCTCTCCTCCAATTTTCTCAAACTTAACAGTAATAAAACAGAAGTTTTACTCGTTGGCATAACCTCTATCTTAACCAAATCTCACAGTTTCTCCAATAATATTGAAAATTCCCCAATCCTTCCTTCCCCGCAGGTAAAGAGTTTGGGTGTCATATTCGACAGTACTCTCTCATTTCAGTCTCACATTAATTACTTAACCCGGTCTGCATACTATCACTTACGTAACATTAACCGACTGCATGGGGAGTAAGGAAGGGACGACCCTTCCTTACTCCCCATGCTGCTGCCATCCTTGTCCATAGTCTTATTACTTCCCGGATCGATTACTCTCAGATCTCTGTGATCTGCTTCATATCAATCAATTTTCTCAAAAAACTCAAAGATAACAATTTCATGCGATACACTTTAAATGAGATTTAATATGTATGAAAAACAACAGACCGTTCAGTCAGTAATTTAGGTAAACAATATTTGATATGATCATATTTAAAACTCATGATGTCTCAGAACTGTTTGTTAAAGCAACACCTTGTGTCCTTTATTGGCATTTACAACAGCTTCAACCACAACCACAACAAATCTTACAATCACCACACCTGTAACAAATACAACTACAGCTTCAACTACAACTGTGAACCCTACAACCACTACAACTGTAACAACTGCTGAGCCAGTCAAAATACTGGCGGTGAAATTCAGATCTGTTAAAGGGATATTTACGACTGACTTGCTGACTTCATCATCCACAGCGTTTAAACAACGAGCTACACTGATAAGGACAGCAGTAAGTTTGTTTTCTTCAAGTTGAACAATATTTAAATGTCTGTATTCTAATTAATTGCATAATTTCTAGATAAAGTCACATAACAGTATTTCTGTGGCATACCTTAAAAAAAGCAAATAAATGATATGCTTGCCCTTTTTCTATCCCTACGTTCAGGTCTCCTTTCTAAAGCCAACAATTTTTCCGTTGTTACTAATATTATACAGACTGAGCTAAAAAAAAAAAAAATCATATACATTATATCCAATAAACAATGTGTAAAAATATTTGCACCATATAACTGAGCTAAAACTCCATAGTAAATACTGCTGGGGTTTCTATTTTTACCAACTGGATGCCATGATTTCTAAGAGATCAAAGAAAAAAGATAAAGCATAAATGTGACCTGTGACATATTCATTATGTGCTAACCATTCAAAAAATGGGCAGCTGGATGAACAGAAAGAAAATATTAAATATTAATTGCACTATGATATTACATAGTGCAAATAACATATCACAAATGACATGGAAGTGAAGGAGCACAAGCCCAAAAAGCAATGCATACATACTTACAGTGTGTTTATTCATATTTCTGCAGCTTGAACCTTTCTACCAGGCAAGATTTCCTTCATTCCGCTTCATCACCGTGACTGCATTCAGGTATATTGTTTATGGTATACAATTTCACAAATATTTAAACTAAATAAAGTAAAAAAAAAAAAAAAGTTTGGCGTTATTTCTTTTGCAGTAATGGGTCCATTGTCAATGACATGGACATTGGATTTGCATTGTCACTGGTCCCTAATGCAAATGAGATTGTGCAAGTTTTGATCGATGCAGCCAAGATAACACCCTTCGACATTGAAACCAGTTCTATATTTGTGAACGGCACACGTAAGATATATTTAATACAATCATGTCAAATATGTTTCTATATTTTAGAACAGTTTCTGAAAGCAATGCATTTTTTTTCTCTTTTTGTCAACATTTACAAAAGTGTCACATGGAGTGAGCCACAAGATCAGTCTCCTCACTGCCTCCTGTATGGTGCTGCTGTCATGGCTTCTGTCAGGCCAGCAATGACATCTGAGTTGATGCTTTTGTGAAATAACTTGAGGAAATGTCTCCTGTGACTGGGTATGAAAAATGATTTTTACAACAGAAAATCCACGAGGAACTTCTGATGAAGAGCAATCATACTATGATTTAGAAGTAACTAAAGCTAAAATGAACCTTTATGTAATCAATCAGTATAGATTTGAACATAATTTCTGTCGAAGGTGTCATTGGGTGTCAATTTAAGAGATAAAGTCATAATGTAAGTTAGACATATCAGTGAGACAACGTTTTTTATCCATAAAGCGTCTCCTCAGCTTAAGAATCTGACTGTGAAAGAAAAGAAGTGATACTCAACATAGCATCACCTCACCTGGCATACTGGAAATATAAGATGTGTGAAAATATCCCGTATGATTACCAGTCACTTTTACCAGTCAATATTTAAATATATTTGTTGTATGTATCTTATTCTTGTATTGTATGCATTATGTTTGTGTTGTATTGGATAATTCAGACAAAAATCTAAGTCTAAGTGATTCTGATATTTAAAATGATTTAAAATACTATTGTTATTAAAAAATAACATTAATATCACCTTTTTCCTTCTGAAGCAGGTTCTTTTGAAGTCTATCATGATAAACTGAAGAAGCTTCAATTAAAGACTCTTAATTTTTAAACACACTTTAATCCACTATTCTCTCTCTCTCTCTCTCTTTTTTTTAAATCAGGAAAAACAAATAGGAAATACTATCATGGGGCTTTTAGGTTCCCATCAAAGATTTTTGATACACATAAAATTAAATCAAATTCTTAGTTTTACATGTTACACTGGAATTAGATTAGGGTGAAATAAGATTGAATTCAGTCTAAATAAAATGACTTGATGTCTTACTTTTTAACCAACATCATTTCTTTTCAGCATATTCAGTGTTTCAGTGAGGGGGGCCTGTTTGTTGCATAACTGGTGTAATTAAATAATAACTCATTGGTAACAGCATATTTATTTTCAATTGTATATGATTAATGTTGTGTGTAGAAGTCAGTCAGTCCTTGGGCAAGACACTTCACCCGTTGCCTACTGGTGGTGGCGCCAGTGGCCGGCAGCCTCGCCTCTGTCAGTGCGCACCAGGGTGGCACGCACTACATTCTCTTCCACAATGTAGCCTGCAATCATTTTTTTAAGCTCACCTTCAGACGCTTTCTGTGCTGCTGAAGTAAAATCACATTTTGCCTGCTTGGCAGGAGTTGCCGCGGTGTAATCCATGGATGATGAACAAGGATCACTCAGAAGTGTTCGTCTATGCTCTCATGTCAGGCGCTTCAGTAGATTACTCATGCTATTAACAGCAGCCGATAGTTTTTACATATTACTGTAATATTCTTGTCTGCTTGTTTCAGAAAAGTGAAGA